GACATTCTGATTATTAGGAGTGATGCAATTGGGATCAAGAGACTGAAAGATTTCATATCATCTCGGTTTCAAACAAAGGAACTAGGTCCTTTAAAATATTTTTTTGGGAATTGAAGTCTCTCATACTTGAAAAGGGATCTGTTTGTCTCTACGGAAATATTGTTTAGACATTTTGAAGGATTTTGGGTTGATTGAAACAAAACCTTGCGAGTCTCCAATAATTCTAAATATGAAATTGAAAGTAGACGAATGAGATCTGCTTGAGGACCTAGATAAATACAAAAGAGTTGTAGGAAAATTAAACTACCTAACGATTACACATCCAAACATCGATTTTCCAGTAAGTGTTGTAAGACAGTTTATGTCATCTCCACGAACCTTTAATTGGGATGTAGTTAGTCATATTCTAAAGTACCTAAAGGGTGCTCCTGGTCATGGCATCCTATATCAAAATCACGGTCATCATGACATCGAAGGGTTCATCGATGTCGACTACAATGGAGATCCTACAAATAGACGGTCTACTACAAGCTATTGCGTGTTTGTCGGAGGGAACCTAGTTTCATGGAAATGTAAGAAACAGATTGTCGTTTCACGATCAAGTGTTGAATCTGAATATTGGGCTATGACTCAAACTACATGCGAGCTGATATGGGTACGAAATCTGTTGGATGAACTTAGTTTTGCTCAATCGAAACCAATGAACTTTTATTGTGATAATGAGGCGGCTATCCATTAGTGGTTTGCATAGGCCGGGTTGGGTCGGTTTTGGGCTAAAACCGAAACCAACCTGTTAATTTCGGTTTTCAATAATTTAAACCCAAACCCAAACTGAAACCACTGGGTTCGGTTTTCAATGGGACGGTTTTGGATTTATACCCAAACCCAACTATAACCTTACTTATTGATGGAGAATCAGTGGCATTTCTTATATAAGAGAAGAAATGTTAATATGTTTGTGTATTGGGGCAATGTGGGAAGTAAACTAACATTCGGATTATATATCCGAACACTTCACCATTGAACCAAGGATTTGTACATTTTTCTAAATCACAGAAAGAATATATATATATATATATATATATATATATATATATATATATATATATATATATATTAGGAAAAATAAAGAAATCATGAAACATAGCAAATAAGAATCGAACTAAAAACCTCTAGTATCATAACACGGCGCCTTAACCATCAGACTAAACTTCTATTTGTGTTTTTAACTCATGCAAATCGTATATATACATAGATAATTCACAGAATACATATATTTCTTAATATTCGGTTCGGTTTTGTTTCTCTCGGTTTTACCAAACCCAAAAACCGAACCCAGCCCAAAATTTTCGGTTTTTGAAAAATCTAAACCCAAACTATCGGTTTATGTTTCGGTTTCGGTTTTTCGGTTTTGGTTTTGTCGGTTTTTAGGTTTCCGGGTTTGGTTTTGCTCACCGTACTATCCATATTGCAAACAATCATGTGTTTCATGAAAGGACTAAACATATCAAAGGAGACTGCCATTTCACACGTGAAAAGCTAGAAGATGGGACCATCTCCACTCCCTATGTTCGAACAGGAAGTCAACTAGCTGATGTATTCACCAAAGCGTTACCTGGTTAGGATCTCTGCTATTGGTAACAAGCTGGGCATGATTAACATCTATGATCCCGCTTGAGGGGGAGTGTTAGAATATAAATATTGCATATCTTAGTTTTAGGCCTAGTTAGCCCATGGGCCTGTAGGGTTTCCTTTGTCTAGGGATCCTGCCTCTATATATTGTCAGTACAGCCTCTTTGTAAAATACATAAAATTAATAATGTATTTTCAGTTTTTCACCCTCAATTTATTCTTGCTGACAAGACTAAAATTGCAAAAAGAATCATATTTATACTGGATCGAAAAAACCACCAAAACACAGGGACTAAAGATGTAATTTAGTCAAAAGTCTATATAATGGTGTCATTAAAACATCAAACGTGGGAAGAAAAAATAATTTTTGGTCGTATAGATCTTTATATTAGTTTCTTGTTGTAAATTTAGTGACAAATAATCATAATTTAGAAAAACATATAATTGATTTTGCAAGAGGAGCTGCAAATGAAACGCTTTGATTTCTAAATGTCAGAAAATATTAAGACAATTGTTACATCCCTTGTTTTTTTAGTGATGTCGTGTTCAACAATGTTTATAAAGTATCTTAAAATATGACTGCACAATTTGGTAAATTAGAGTAAAATTTAAATTGGGGCAAATCTGTAAAAAGTTGGGACAATGTAAAAAGATAACTTTCTCGTTCTTTCTTTTCGTATCAAGTCAAAAGAGACGGCTTACCGGAATAAGGACCTATTTTATTTTTTTCCCCTGATGTGTTAGAGTAAGCGTTTGTTTCTTTTTACTTGGTGGGCTTAATAGGTTAAGCACTCAATGTTGATTGTTATCGAAGTATATATATAGTTATGTCTTTTATGCTTAATCTAATCAAAATGACTTAATAGGTTAATGGTGTGATTTGTTATGACTCTAACCTTTTACCTATTTGTAGTTTTTATTTTTCCTTCCAATTCTCTTCATGTTAAGGTTTGATGAATACGGTTAAAATTGATGAAAATTGTGAAATTTTGTTTTTTGAAATGTCGAAAAGAAACAAGTAAATTTGAGTTGTGTTTCATTTATAACATGTCAAACATGTAAAATTAGAATATTTGATTTAATCGTTATTTATATTTAGTATATCAAAGGGATAATCGCATAGTTGCTTGACCAAATGTCGTGCCACTGTTGACCATTTCTGAGTGTTCTATATGTCAACAAGTAAAATACAAAGCAAAAAGCTAGACGTTGAAGTAAATGGTATAAAAAGCATGATAATTGACAAGAATACCCCTCAAGTAAAAGATGGACGCTTAGTAAAAATGAAGTATGAATGTCAAAATATATGTATAAATGTCAAATATTGGACATCAGAAATGACAAAATTTCCCCTGAAATAAATAATGGCCATAACGAACAAAGCATTGATGACGACAATAGTAAGTAAAGTCTCCACTATGCCAATACACACATAAAAGAAAAATATCCTTTTTCTCACGATTTTGATTTCTACAGAAAACAATCAAAATGAAGGACCAAAAATCACACAAAACAATAGAATCTTCAATGTACAATGTCTTGATAAGATAATATTTAAAGTATACTACTATAAGTGGGTAGATTTTCAAACTACAATGCACAAATAAGAAAAACAATCTACAAATAAACGAGCCTATGTTACCATTTCTCGCATGTCTCCCCAACTTATAAAGACACTATAATCTAGAAATCTATAAACTATAACATTCTACCTTTATTCTTTAAAATACCCAACTTACACTCGATAGGATTCTGACAAATAGGGCACTTGAAGCCAATTATGGAGAACCACAGTAGTATTTGGGTTTTAATGAGATGAAGTTGGATATCAGGATCCCAGATGCTGTTAGACATAAATTCACAAGTTTTGGTCAGATTTCAAAGATACTCCGTTAAAAGGTAAATCTTGTTGTTTATCATTATCATATGTCATTATATATTTTAGTATCCCTGTATACTTCATTGAGTTTCTATTTGATTTGTGGTTTGTCTAGAAAAGCTTTTCATTCTTATTTTTATGTTTTCTTGTATTCTGATTTTGATTACCTGTTGTACAGAAACTATACCAATCTTACTTGCTAATTGTGAAATATGGAGAAATGAGAATTTACCTTGAAAAAGATGAAAGTAACAATATGCGAAAACGCATACATTTCAATCTTTTTGGTCAAACGGAACAGATGTGAAATTGCAATAGATTTCTAAATTGTAAGCTTTTTATTTTATTACTAAATTCTTTAAAGATGCAAACTTTACCAGAACACGTTTATCGGTTTCATAAAAGCTCATATATAGGGTCTTTAAAGATCATATAACCATTATTATCTTATGGTTTTATTGCAGATTACTTTTGTTACAATGCAGACTATATATTGGTTAGACTTTTGATATTAATTATATGACAATTATTTACTTGGTTTGTTGCTAACCACATTTGTGGTTTTGGTGGATGTATTTGTGCATATGATTGGTATTGGAAAAGTAACTTAAATTACCATATAAACAAACTTGGATATGTTCCTTTTCTAATTCCTCATTAATTGATGGATGGATAAAGCGCAGAACTGAAAAAGAAGTGTGGGTTAGGGCGTTAGGCTAAAGATGTAGAAAAGAGGTTTGAATGAATAAATGATCACTCGCATACATAACCCAATAAAACCTGCCATATGTAACAAGCAAAAAAGAAATACCCCCATATATCTGTCTCCTTAAGGAGTAGTTAATTTCTAAACCTGTTTAACTTTTTCTTTTTCTTTTTTCACTTTTATGCTGAAAACTGATTACTTGCATTTATCAATTACCCTATGTGGTCAATAGATATGTTTCATGGTGAAATATTCAATCTTTTTTGGGAAGATGTTGAGAGAATACTATGGGAAACAAAGATTGTTGGTGGATTAATTTCAAGCTTTGAGGAGTTGCATGATAAAATCTAAAGATAAAGTGTATTTTCTGTTAGTTTGAAAGATAACTGCTTTATATTGATGTTATTATTTTACAGTATACCACTTTGTATGTTGTTTTTTGAATAGATTATTTCTACTTGTGGTTTCCAAGCAAAGCAACGGAATGATAGTAGATGACGAATACGTAATATATTAAAGCTCGTTAATTGAATAGTTCAAATTAAGTTGAGATGCAATAAATTTTAATGTCAACCCCAAATAATTGTCTAAGTAACTCTTGAGAACGAGCACTTAAAAAAAAGAAAAGAATGTGGCCTACCTGTCTTGGAAGCGTTGACATGTTTTTTAATATAAAAATTATAGACTTCTCCTAGTGTTTCTTGCTATATAATACCCACAACTTTACTTCCAGAACCATAACCTTCCTCCCTCAACCTCATCCTCTCATACTACCGGTGAACCATGAGAGTTACCACCGGCAGCGGTGTCCCTTTAAGGGCACATCTATGGCATATAGTAATTGCATTAACGGTCTTTGGTGTTGCTAACCTCATAGCTGTTTCGGCCGATCCTTATATCTATTCTTCACCACCACCACCATATGTGTACAAGTCTCCACCACCACCGGTACATTCACCACCACCACCATATTTGTATAAGTCTCCACCACCACCCGTACACTCACCACCACCACCATATTTGTACAAGTCTCCACCTCCGCCGGTACATTCACCACCACCACCATATTTGTATAAGTCTCCACCACCACCCGTACATTCACCACCACCACCATATTTGTACAAGTCTCCACCACCACCTGTACATTCACCACCACCACCATATTTGTACAAGTCTCCACCACCACCTGTACATTCACCACCACCACCATACGAGTACAAATCTCCACCTCCACCGGTACATTCACCCCCACCACCATACGAATATAAATCTCCACCTCCACCTGTACATTCACCCCCACCACCATACTTGTATAAGTCTCCACCACCACCCGTACACTCACCACCACCACCATATTTGTACAAGTCTCCACCTCCACCGGTACATTCACCACCACCACCATATTTGTATAAGTCTCCACCACCACCGGTACATTCACCACCACCACCATACGAGTACAAATCTCCACCACCACCTGTTAAGTCACCACCACCACCATACTACTACAAGTCTCTTCCTCCTCCAGTGCATTCTCCACCACCACCTTACTACTACAAATCCCCACCACCACCAACAAAGTCTCCCTCTCCACCACCACCAACACCCTACCACCCCGTCCCGTACCCTCACCACAAGAAAGTCATCGTGAAGGTCGTGGGTAAAGTTTACTGCTACAGCTGCTATAACTGGAAATACCCAATCCAATCACACGCCAAGCACCACCTCAAAGGTATATATAATCTTTAGTTTCTCAAACTACCTTAATTTTTTTTTTATGAATTGATGTGTATGCATGTGCTTTGATGGTTGACCCATGTTCCATACTTCCATGTTTTTGGTTTTCCACATCTCTTTTACCCATCAATACATACAAACAATCAATTTTGTAAAAATATATTTAATCTTATGTTTTGATTTTATTAATCGTTTACTGTCATACATTTTAAAAAGACATCATAATGAAAACATTTATATTTTCAAAAAATTGAAGCATTAGTTTTCTAAATGTTATTTTTGAGTTAAATAAAGTGTTAACGCATATAATCATATATTTATTTCTTATTATACCACATAAATTACAAACTTCAAAAAAATATAAGATATCGAAGTTACAACATTTTCTTTCTATGAAAGGCTACGTTTCTAAGTTATATATTTATAATTATTTTATATATGAATTAATATGAGTTATTTAATTAAAAATATTTAATCTAAAATCATATGATGCATGTTTTAATTTTATACTAACCGGATCAAAGATTTATTATTATGAGGTATTGATGTGTGCCAAAAATTACAAAGGATGGACCAAAAAGTATACATGAAATTAACTTCTTTTTATATTTGTGTTGAAAAGGTGCCGTTGTCGAGATCACTTGCAAGGCTGCTGGCGAGAAAGAAATTTGTGCATATGGGAAGACAAAGATCAACGGCAAATATGCAATTACTGTCGAGGGTTTGGACTATTCCAAATATGGAGGAGCTAAAGCTTGTACCGCTAAGCTTCATATGGCACCAAATGGAACCAAATGTAACATTCCAACAAATCTTCATGGGGGTTTGAAGGGTGCTGAGCTCATGGTCAAGTCCAAAAATGCTTATGAGATTGTCCTTGAAGCTAAACCATTTGCATATGCTCCTAAGACCCCTTCTAAGATTTGTGAGAAGCCAAAGCCAAAACCAGAGCCCACTCCTTCTCCATATTATTACAAATCTCCGCCACCACCACCACCGACTTACTTGTACAAGTCACCCCCTCCACCCGTAAAGTCTCATCCAGTGTACCACTACACGTCACCCCCACCACCTAAGAAATCACCACCTCCTCCATATCACTACACATCTCCACCCCCGCCGGTTAAATCACCACCACCACCATATCACTACACCTCACCACCACCACCTGTGAAGTCTCCTCCTATATACCACTACACATCACCTCCACCACCCAAGAAATCACCACCTCCCCCATACCATTATACATCTCCTCCCCCGCCCATTAAATCTCCACCACCACCATACCATTACATTTCACCTCCACCACCAGTGAAGTCTCCTCCCAAATACCACTACACATCACCCCCACCGCCTAAGAAATCACCACCTCCCCCATACCACTACACATCACCACCACCACCAGTGAAATCTCCACCACCACCATACCATTACACTTCACCACCACCACCAGTGAAGTCACCACCCCCACCTTATCACTACACATCACCTCCACCACCAGTGAAATCTCCTCCCCCACCATATCACTATACTTCACCGCCCCTACCCGTGAAATCCCCACCACCACCATACCACTACACTTCACCACCCCCACCCATAAAATCCCCTCCACCGCCTTACCATTACACATCACCTCCACCCCCCGTTAAATCTCCACCACCCCCATACCACTACACATCACCTCCACCACCGGTTAAATCCCCACCACCACCTTACCACTATACATCACCTCCACCACCCGTGAAATCTCCACCTCCCCCATACCATTACACCTCACCTCCACCTCCAGTTAAGTCCCCACCACCACCATACCTCTACACCTCACCTCCACCACCAATTAAATCTCCACCACCACCTTACCATTACACTTCACCTCCTCCACCCGTAAAATCCCCACCACCACCATACCACTACACATCACCTCCTCCACCAGTTAAATCTCCACCACCACCTTACCACTACTCTTCACCTCCGCCACCAATTAAGTCCCCACCACCACCATACCACTACACATCACCTCCACCACCAGTTAAATCCCCACCGCCACCTTACCATTACTCTTCACCTCCACCGCCTGTGAAATCTCCACCACCTCCTTACCATTACATTTCACCTCCACCACCAGTTAAGTCCCCACCGCCACCATACCATTACACATCACCTCCACCACCGGTTAAATCCCCACCACCTCCTTACCATTACACATCACCTCCACCACCTATGAAATCTACACCACCCCCTTACCGTTATATTTCGCCTCCACCACTTGTTAAATCCCCACCCCCACCGTACCATTACTCGTCTCCTCCACCACCAATGAAATCTCCACCACCTCCATACCACCACATATCTCTCCCTCCTTTAATAAAATCACCACTACCACCTGTATACATCTATAATTCTCCTCCACCCCCGGTTCATTATTAGACTCCCATAAGCTCATTGTCAGCAACCTAAAATCATGTATGTATATATTTGTATCACTTTTAGAGATTATTAAACATTCCTATTACTATAATGAAATTTTAAATAATATATAACATATCCATAACAAGTTCATATTTGTTTATGCAGAATTTACTTCATGTACGAGTTCAATAAAAGAAGGATCCTTGAAGAGACAATTGGAAACTAGTTCAAACGCACTCATACCTTTCAAATAAGTTATTCAACATTACACTACAGAGCAACAGTCTTTTATATTGGAACAATTTTCTTTCTAATGTGTGGTTTTGGGTCATCCTATCTACGACGAAATAGTTTGAAGGGTTATACATTTAAAAAAAAAACAAGTACAACTACAGGTTACGTTTAGAAGATGGTGATAATAGTGTTGTGGCTTGAATATTTTTTCCTATATCTAATTTATTACTGTATAATTTACATAAGTGTTAGCACTTTAATATTTATATATGATTGATTGATCTTTTCATTTCATTTCATTAGTGGTATTTATATAACTTTTAATTTCACGTCCCACCGAGATTTCTTTTGGAATATCTTGAAATGCACGATTCATAGAGATTTAATTATAATACATATACATATGGCTACTTAAAAGAATATTAAAGTATCTTTTGAAACTATTGATTGGTGAAGAATTTTAACATTAGATTTAACACAACACAGCAAGACATGGAAGTTCAAAAATAGCATGACCATTAAAACATAACAATATTTTAACCCACAAAGAATGAATATTCTTTTGATACTATTTATAATGAATCCACTTGTGGTAACAAACATCAAACTTGAAAAAGTAAGTTAAGGCTACAACTTAAAATATTTACATGAAACTATTTGAACAAAGAAGATTTAAATAAAACCACATTACTATATCATCTTGCATTTAACCCAAATACAACGAATACACATATTACATATCAATTAAGCACTTTCCCAATAAATAAAACTACGTTGCTATACATTGCAACTAAAACATATAAAAAAACATTTGTTTCCCAAATACAATATTTTTTTTAATTTCATATTCAGAAGGAATCATACACAAATATACCTCATAATCGTAATCTGATACACTAATGGTTGATAATGGAGTGTCTTCGGTGATCAATGTGTGTGTTGTACATTTAGCCTAAAAATACATAGTTCCATGTATTTCTTCAACCACCACAATCGAGGGTGATACTTTTCCATTAAGTGCTTTATCATTTCTTATTTTCCAAATGAAATAGCAAAACTACAAGAAAGACTACTCATACCATTTTTTGGCATGATATGATTTGTGTAGTGATGTCAGGATGGATAGTATGTGTTGTAACAAAGAGGGTAAGGATGTACAAAAACGAAAAAAAAAACCTAATACATCAAACAACGCAATAATCTAAATCACAAGAACAATATTAGTTCAAGAACCACATGCAATGAAAATACCAAGCAAAATGTAACACTCCAAAAATACTAGGATATTTTTTTGTTTTTAAAGTAATTAAAACCATTCCATGACAATCATATAATCAGATATCCAAAACATGAAGTTATAGTTTTCATACAAAGAGCATCAAAGTAATCCCAAAATCATAGGATTCGGAAACCATCGATGGATGAAATGCAATCAATCCGGCTCTTTCCCCTTGCTACTAGAAGTATCTGAAATAGTAAACTTTAAACGTAAGTATGAAGCTTAATGGGTTCCCCAAATACCATATACAAATAGACGTCATGCCCAACATACATAATGTGCCCCACCCTACATACATGCACGAGTCACAAAGACATTCTAGCATTCTACGTAGTACAGTGAGAAAACTCACCTCATAAATCCTAGTAGACTACACTACAACACACAAGGTCGGGAAGCTGGTGATATCAAGTCTCCTCACACTAATCATACACATAATAAAACCCTAATTAACCATTAAGGTAATAACTGTCTCTCAAAGTGTCTTGGTTCACATTTAATCCTCCTTTAGGAAAAAAATCATTTTTCCCTTCCAAGACTAAGTCCCAACACAATGGACCAAAAGTAGAAATGGTAAAAAAAAATCAATAGTCAACCCTCATTTGACCAACGCTCAGCGTGGCACACTGCTTTATGCTCGGCATAGAGCTCTAGGCGGGAAAATGGGGAAATTCCATGCTACACTTGGCGTGGAGAAATCTACGCTCAGCGTAGCCCCCACATGCCCAAAAATTTTATTAAGCTCTTAATGCTGAAAATTATCCATTCAAACTTTTAGATCTAATCCAAATGGATGTCTTAATGGAGATCCTGAAACTCCCTCGCCAAGTGCCACACCTCAATCGCAGGCACGAACTTTTCCCTAAATATGGTAAAGAATTTTCCCATGTCATAGCCTCAATGGCCTCCACTCCCAAAGCATGTCCTACCTCATCCCAATAATCGCGAGCTCCGTCCCTCAACAAACAAGTAGCAAATTTGGTCTTCGACCCCTCAGGGGAGAAGTTAGTCTGAGAAGCACACTCGATATCTGCAATCCAATACATGCTGGCAACGGGGTCCTTCTTCTCGAAGAACTCTGGAGCCCTACAAACATGAAAATCCTTGAAAGTGAGAGTGTGATCCCATAACTGGCCAACTACCAGCTCCACCCGAAAGTCCTGTAAATGCTCATCCATCAACTCAATCATCCCCTCGATCTAGCACAAGAGCCAGAACTAGAACCAGGACCAGAATCTCCTCCATGACGAGTCATCATGATTCGGAAAAGACAACAGAAAGGTCATAAACATACTCATAAAGTCACTCACACTACAAGCTCCTTAGAATATTTATGAATTTTCTTGATTTGAGTACAGATCATGTGTTTCCGGTAGTACGGGTCATACTACCGTCCACACCAATCTGTACTTTCCTCAAGAATCATCCCAAGTTTCATAAGTTACTTCCCTAAAGCCACATACTCAAGCTCTCTGGTAAAAGCGCACCCACGCACTAATAAAATTCTTAGACTCCATATGATCCAACTTCCCACACATGACGAAAGATTTTCGCTGGTGCCGATAAATCATCTCATGAATGCACGTCGTACATAATTAAAATAAAATAGACACTTGAATAGATGTCTCTACCCTAAGGCCTTCATCAAACAAGACTAGACAATAAGGATGAATCAAACATTCTAAGGCTATCTAGTCTTATTGATGTACCACCCAGATGCATTCATCTGATAATTTACTAGCATCAGTATAAATCCTAAAACATTTATCTATCAACACAAAATAGGCATAAAATACATCTCTCTAAATAAACATTCTAGCATGCAACCCAGAGTAGATCCTTAACATAGTACTACCATGAAACTTATATCATATTGTAACGCCCATATCCCTGGTATGCATTAAATATTTATTTACTTATTTTTACAAGGCAACTCGACGAGTTGGTAGCCCCAAAGTCGTCGAGTAGAGATCGAGAGGGACGCGGGTTTTGAGGTCTACTCGCCGAGTTGGGAAGCCCCGACTCGACGAGTAGGAATGCCAGAATGAAACCCTAATTTTAAGGGTTTGGCCCCCTATTTAAAGAACATAACACCCCTTGTGGCCTCAATCATCGTCCTACATGGTCCAGAAAACCCTAATCAGTGCGCTTGAGCTTTTTGTGAGTGTGTGAACCATTTTTGAGTGTTTTAGTGTGATTTGAAGCTTGTGAGAAGAAGAAGAAGCTAAAGGACTCCAAGAGAAGGTTGTAGATCCAGGAGCAACATCACTTTTCCTTCACTTTCTGGTAATCAAGTCTATACCTTGGCCATTTGTTTTCTAGATCTTCATATGGGGTAGTTTAGGGCTTTTTGGAGTGCATTTTGGAACCATTCATGGATGCAAGCGTGATTTGGTGTATCAACTGCACATCTAGAGTCTTTGAGGGACTCCATGGCATAAAGGTGCCAACTTTATGGCCATGGGAGTCCCACACACCTTATGAGCCACCTTTTTGGACCTTGTGAACTAAAAACCCTTGGTACTGTTTGATTCGGGGGCAACCCGATCTTTGGTACTATTTGATTCGGGGGCAACCCGATCTTTTGTGTCGCTCGCGCTCAGCAAGCGATTTGTAGGAGCTCCGGGTGAGCTATATTGCCCACTGGATGTGGATATAGCAGATGACAGGACCGTTAGGGTTGCAAGGGTTCACTGAGGTTGTACACTACAGTTATTTGATGAGCAGTTTTCAGTAGATCTGGTTCCTATTCCCCTGCGAGGGAATAAGGTTATAGTTGGTATGGATTGGTTGAGCCCCAATGGGGCAGTGATTGACTGTGAGCAATAGCTAGTGAGAGTTCGGACTCCTATTGGGGGAGGGTTAGTGATTCAGGGCGAGAGGCCACAGCGCGGACCGGTTTTATGTTCAGCAGCAAGGGCGATGCGTTACCTTCAGCAGGGTTGCGCAGGTAATGTCGCTTATGTGATGGATACCCGAGATAAGGGTAAGGCTACAGTGGATGATGTACCAGTTGTACGAGAGTACTCAGATGTATTCCCGAAGGATTTGCCTGGGATCCCTCCGGAGAGGCAGGTTGAGTTCAGGATCGACTTAGTCCCTGGTGCGGCTCCAATAGCCAAGGCACCATATCGGTTGGCTCCTCCCAAGATGCAGGACTTACTTACGCAGCTGTAGGAACTGCTGGACAAAGGATTTATCAGACCTAGTAGTTGGCCATGGGGAGCCCCGATCCTGTTTGTGAGAAAGAAGGATGGGTCGCATCGGATGTGCATAGACTATCGGGAGCTGAATAAGGTAACGGTGAACAACCGTTATCCCCTCCCGAAGATCGACGATTTGTTTGACCAGCTACAGGGTGCATCTTAGTTCTCCAAGATTGGTCTACGGTTGGGTTATCACCAGATGCGATTCAGGGATGAGGATGTGCAGAATACAGCTTTTAGGACTCGCTATGGTCATTATGAGTTTGTGGTGATGCCGTTTGGGCTCACCAATGCTCCAGCCGCGTTCATGGACCTCATGAACCGGGTGTGCAGAACGATGATGGATCGGTCTGTGATAGTTTTCATTGATGATATCTTGGTCTATTCCAAGACTCGGGAGCAGCATGAGGAGCACCTGAGGGAGGTGCTGGAGACATTGAGGAGGGAGAGACTTTTTTCAAAGTTCTCCAAGTGTGAGTTCTGGTTGCGCGAGGTGCATTTTCTTGGGCATCTCGTCAACCAGAAGGGTATTCTGGTCGATCCGGCCAAGATAGAGGTCGTGATGCATTGGGAGGTTCCGAGGTCTCCAACTGAGATTCGGAGTTTTCTTGGTCTAGTGGGTTATTACAGGAGATTCATCCAGGATTTCTCCAAGATTGTTGTTCCTTTGACCCAACTGACCAAGAAGTCGGTGACATTCCGTTGGGGACCT